CCTACATCCCTACACCCCCTCTCGGAGTCTGCGGTCCTCAGACACGGGCCTGCTCTCCATCCCCCGCTCTCGCCTTCATACTGTTGGTGACAGGGCGTTCAGTGTTGCGGCCCCCACCCTCTGGAATGCACTTCCTGCCGAGATCCGGAACGCTGCCTCACTGGACATCTTCAAATCCTCACTGAAAACGCACCTGTTCACCATGGCCTTCGGACCCTAGTCCTTTCCTGGTCCCCCGGCTTCCTTTATTTTATTTTATTTTTTTGTTTGCTCCTCATTGTCTGTTTTGATTTGTCTGTCCACCATGCACAGCGACCTTGGGTCCCGTGAAAGGCGCTTTATAAATTCCATTTATTATTATTATTATATACCTTATTTTTTAAAACGCCCCAACACTCTATGTAACACAATGATCACTATGTACCACTATGTACAGACATCTCTAAATGGTTGACCAATCACAACAGAGCGGCCTCCTAACCAATCAGAGCAAACTGGGCTCTGGTTTCAGACTGAGGGTGAAAAGAGGTGCTGCAGCATGAGAAAAATAAAGAGCTTTTTGAACATTAAAGCATGGAGACATGTCACAGAGAAACAAAATGCAAATATAAGCCTGAGAATGAGCACACTAGGAAGCAGTACTGTGACATTATCTTGAGTTTTTTTTTATCATTTTTTTCATTTTTCATTTTCTTTTTATCATTTTTTTTATCATTTTTTTTGTTATGTTCTTTCCTCTTTAAAAAAAAATCTACGATTAAGCTTTTTTTTTAAACTTTCTTTGACTTACACATGAATTCAATCCTCAGCCCTCCGGTGAGTTATCCCTCACAGACTCGCACTCTATTCCCCAAGATGCACTGCCCCGCTGCGTGCCTGCCTTTTCATTGACCAATAAAACAACCTGAGCTTTATGGCTCTACCAATTCCAATGGAGAGAAGGGAAAAGACAGGGGAAGGAGGGGTAACAAGAGAGACCTGAGCTTTATGACCCAAACTCAAATTGATGTAATAGTGGAGAAATAGAGGGGTGTACCAAAAAAGGTAAACTCAATGGAAAGACTGATAAAACAGTAAGAATGTGTCCATCATATAATATGGAAAGAAAAAGGGAAGAGTGAAAGAGTGAGTGGGTAAAAGCAAGAGAGCGAGAGAGCGTTAAGCCCATAAAAAGATACAGAGCCATTCATGACTTAAAATAACAGCCATCGATGTGCAAAGCAAAACTGCAGCGTAGATGAAATAGATGATATTTTATTGTTCTAGCCCCCAAGTCCCAGTCTGTATAAATAGCTATTGATTTAACGTGTTTTATTCCGCCAGCCAGGTCAACTGTGAGTCCTGGGAGACGTCAGCTGTTCTGTTCTGCACTTTGGACTGCAGACTTCTGTCGGATGAAGGTTTCGTCCCAAGTTCCTCCCAAGCACCTTTAGTTGTCTGTCTGTGTTGTACCCGGGGACTTATTGGAAAGTAAAGAAGATTACTTATAGAATATCTTATATCATTGTTTTACTTTCTTTGCACTAGCAAATAAACAGAAGGAGAATAGAGGAAGACTTTGTATTGTAGAACTTCATTTAAACAAGGCAACTTACTCGCTGAATGAAGCTGCCTTCATATGATAAGCAATTGACTCTTTGCTTACAAGGTTTGGCACAGAGCATTGCCGTAAATAAAGCTAGATTATATCCTACTGTTACTAGGGCTGCTCGATTGAGGCAAAAATCATAATCTCGATTATTTGGGTCAATAATTGATATCACAATTATTAAAAACGATTGTCCATTTACTTTGAAAACATCCATTTATTGAAAAAAGAAATGTGAACAGTATGTTTTTAACAGTTGATTACCCTGAACTTTAAGTATAATTCAACTGAAAAAAATAAATAATAATTACAAAAATAAAAATAAAAATAATCCTTTTATTTCGATTATGTTGTTTTCATAATCGTTGCAAGCCAAAATCGTAATTGCGATTAAAATACGATTAATTGAGCAGCCCTAACTGTTACCCTTTGCTAGTTTACGCCGCTTCATACAGCCGTAATCTGATTGGTTGTGAGTTAAAGTATCAGCTTCAATTGACGTCTAATTTGAACATTGTGCACTCTGAATGCATTACATAATTCACTTTTGCTGAATTTGTTTGTCCAAAGCTCACCTTCATACAAATACTGGAAGGCACGACTGTCCTTCTCAAGGACCGCATGAGCTTCAGCTGCTCCAAATCCTAAGGACAAATATCTTTCATGTATGCACTTTGAGAATAAAGACTTCTCTAATGATGGATTCCTTTATCTTGTTTGCCCTATACCCATCATAGCTCTATACACTCATGTGGAACTAGGGGCCTTGATCTCTTTAGATTATTTTAGCTAGTAGGACAGCCATTTTAATGGCAGCTATTGTGAATCGCCCTCAAGTTCTCTAACACAAAGTTATCCAGAATAACCTCCAACAAAATACCCCAAGCAATGGTTTATGAGTATCAGAAGATACATGAACAAAAGCCTAAGGCAATGAAATGAACTGAAATGCTCATTGAGCTGTTTTATCAAGTGTTTTTAGCTCCTATGAATACAATACAAACACATTACATCTATTAGCACAGATAATTCACCACTGATGCAAAACTTGAATGTAACGTCTGTGAAATCAGACATTAAACACGTTTCCTGGCCACTACCATACCTGTCTGTCTCTGGAACCAGAACATCCACATCTAGTGCAATAGAGGTTTGTTTCCACTGTATCTCACTCCAGTTTCTTTATTCATGTCTTTCTTTTCTTTGCATCTTCAACTTTGGATTTCCTATTGCTTCTTCTTTCTCTCTCTCTAACACACCCTCACACATAGTCACACATTGGCACATCACCACTTCAGCCTGCAGGCCTAGTCAAAGTGAGGCACCCAGCTGTCAGTGCTTTCCATTTGAGTCCGCTAATGGAGAGATGAGGGCCGCCCGACGTCCGTGAGTGTGAAGTCTGAGATCTTCCTCCCACCGCCTCACCGCCACAGATTCACACACTTACCGTACACACACATATTACCTCCAGCCTCCAAGGTGCCCATTTTACACAAACCTCCATCTTAAACACTTGTTATTTCATCAATGGAAACACTGTCTTCAGATATATCCTGGGGCAGGTTGGCCTTTGTGGACTGGCCAGAGAAGGGTGCATCTATCTATTGATAGCTATAATATCCCAGATGATAACCAATACATTTGGATAAGATTGGTGGGGTTGAGAGTAAGATATGTCGTTTTTTGGATATGTTCTGTTTTTGTAAATATACAGTCGTATTGATGCTCCACTCATGCAGGTGGATAAGTATTCTTCTTGGAACTCCTAGTTTGCAGTCAGTGTTGCCCTCACTTTCTGTTATCTCAATAAATCTAACCTGGAAGACAAACAGCAGGACACATGAGCCGATCCAGAGGCTCTAGCCCTGGAAGTTGTTTTTTTCCTTTTGCGTTGGTGGCGGTTTCCGCTCCAGCGAGTGCCTTCTGGTTCATTCATGTTGTCTATCTATGTTTTATCAATTATTTTTCCTTACCTCCCTCACTCATTCTCACCTTGCCTTCACACTTTTTATATCTTGTATTTTTATTTTCAACAGAGGGCTGAATGAAAAACTGAAATGCACTCAGATATGTTGACAGAATAAAACACACATGCTCTATGAAGGGCTAAACTGTGTTTGGGTTTGAATCGCTATGAATGTGTTTGACTCTTTTTGTAATGACTGTCATTCACAATGACTGCTGTGTTTTACTGCGTGTGACTGTTTGTTCTGGTGTTTCCGTGTGCGCAGTCATTGACGGTTGTGCATCGTTGAAACTTGCCAGCAGTAACATCTCGACAGACACTGACAGTTATTTTGAAAGAATGACTATTGAAGTGCCTCTGCCAGTTTAGTGGCCACGGGTCCATTTGCTCAATTTGTTCCAGCCTCAAAGTGGAGACCATGTGGTGAATCACTGACCTGTAGCAAAGGGCCAAACATCACTTCAACTCCAAAATAGATTTTTGTTGAAATGACCATTTAACAGATGTTTGATTAGTTTGTCAGATCAGACAGGAGGTGTTTGGGAGGTCAAACTTGTTTTGAAAAATGTAAATGAAATGGATATAATATTGCACAGAAAGACATGAATATTGTTCAATTCACCAAAGGAGATACAAGAGCTGAGCAGTCATTTGACCTTTAGTTTGTCTCAAAATCTAGTTTAATTATCAAGTGTTAAACATTCTGGCTGTTCAAGAGATTAGGATTGATGAAACTACTGATATAAAGAGTAACTGTGGTATTATTCTTTTAAACCTGAACTTATTTTGGTTCACACTCAACTCTCTTCCATCAGTTGTGGAAAATACTCTGGCCACAAAAGTCCTAACAATGAATTGATTGACCAACAGTGCAAATGAATGGCAACGTTGTAAGGGTTAGGGTTAGGACACTTGTTACACGTTGGCCACAACAACTGTTCATGCCATGGCACTTTACAGATCAATAATAACTGATTGCACCACTTTCAATGTTTTCAGTGCAGCAGAATGGCTTTAGTGGTGCTCTGCCGCACAAAGGTGGATGTTAACGGGCTGCTACAAAGACTTCTTTTCAGAGTCACATGGTTGAGTGAGATATAAAATCAAGTCTTTCTTAAAAACACATACAACTTAAAGAAACATTACATTTTGTACACTATACTATAAGTTGCCAATAACAGAGTAGGTTTATACCAGGTTGTAAGCTCTACTGTAAAAAAAACATTCTATATTATGCACAAAGTTTGTGAAATATTAACTCACATAAATTATATTTACTGCATTATAGCTTATAATTAAACATTAGCTTTGTGAAAACAATGCTTCTGAAGTGACTGCTTCTATGACCAACATTTAGTCAATTGTATTACTTTTACCTTGTAGAGAGCTGATGTACAGAGTTAAGCTTAAATATCTATTAAACTGTTTGTCTCCTCTTTCCTAAAGATTACCTACAAGGCCTTGAGCTCATTTGACCCCAGCGCTGATCTGACAACCCAGAGGGGACGGGTGTTCAAGCTGAGGAACGAGACCCATCATCTGTTCGTAGGCCTCTACCCAGGAACCACGTACTTCTTCACCCTCAAAGCCTCCACCAACAAGGGCTTCGGGCCACCAGTCACCACCCGCATCAGCACCAAGATAGCAGGTACAAATACTTGCATGTGAAATCATTCAGTAAATCATTTGTTATTTGTCTGTCCGTTATTTGGTGGTGACATTTGTTTGATCTTTGCTCTCAAATCAAACCAAGACATTTTGTCGCTTCTTATAAGACACAATCCGATACAGGAGACGCTGGAGGCTTGTTTGGTTGGCCAGGTGCTGGCTTGGTATGTCAGTTTCTCCATGGATGTTCCTTTCTGTCTATTTGTTGTTTGTGTCCTTGTTAGTCTGACTTGTTCCACTACGTTTGTGTCCCTCTGTTGGCACCTGCCTCAGCACATAGCAAATGTGAATGGCACCTCCAAAGAAAAGAAAAACCTTCAACTTTGGTGGCAAGAACTGTAATAGCCCATGTTGAAGCATTTCTTCATTGTGGAACAAGAGGACTCTATTATTTTGTGAAGGGTGTTCCTTGTTGTTCAAATGACAGAATGATTGATTCAAAATAACAACCCTTCACCTTGTTCTTCTTTGTCGTCTCTCTTTGCCCTTTAGTTCTCTTACTCACCCTTCAGACACTTATTCCTCTCTGTCTCTCTTCCTATCTTTTTCTCACTTTTTAAAATGTACCTTTCTCTAATAATCCATTCCTAAATGGCATATCCGATTGCATCTTCTTCACAGGATGTCTTTTATTATTGTTTATTCTTATTGAGGACCTTAAGCTCTAGTTTTTTTTTATCAATACATTTTTATATGTTTTGCCAAAAGTACTCCTTTATACAATCCTAAGTACAACTTTATTAGAGAAGGCGCACTTAACGACTTCTGCATCTATTTGTCAAACATGTTATTTAAAAGTATTTTCAGTCCAACAACATCAGATATCTGTTCCCTTGATAATCCAAAGAGAGTTTATCACTTTCATGTGTAATAATCTCATAACATTACTGCAAGTGTCACTCGATTTAAAGGAAGGATATAAAACAGAGGTAACGGCATACATCTCTGCTGAGCAGACAAGAGATTTTCAACTTGCATATTTCCATGTTAATCCAGTTAAACATATTCAGCCCTGAAACTGCTCTGTGGCCATTTCTTCTTCACTAATTGTACCAGTATATATTTGAAATAAATGCTACACACATCACATTTAACCATTAGGGAAATATATTTTCAAAATATGAATGGCTCCAGAAAATGTGTGAATGAAACCCAAATATGAGCCGTGCTGATGCCCGACTGTCCACTGAGCTACACCACTGAAAGGCTCGGGAAGAAATGGAATAAATGTCATGGGATAATGTCATTATATCCCTACAGATACATTCAAAGATTTCATCAGATTATTGGGATATTTAAAAAAGTAATCATTCTTAGAAGATTTCAAATACATTTTTGCATTACTACTTTTCAGTGAAAAAAGTCTTGAGTCAAAAGTTGAATGTATTTATTGAATGTTTGATGTTAAGGAAATGCAACATTACCGAATATGATAAGGGCCAAATGCAATGTTTTCCTTTGAGACCTGACCAAATGTGATTATTATTATTATTTTTGTTCTGACTTTAATCTCAGAAACAAAACGTTGCTTTTGGTCAGATCTCTAAAGAATATTCACATGTGTCTCTAATCCTTTTCCATACAAAAGTAAAGGAAAGTAATGAAGTTACTTTAATATTGTAATATGTAGATTAGGGAACAGACTACATTTTTTTAAAGTAAAGTAGTGAACTAAATGTAATATAATAATTTAAGAGAACCGCTCAGTGATCAATGTTTGACCACTGAATCCTGACAGTGTGAGGACTGCGGTCTGAGCATGTCATTACTGCTATCTGTCAGCACCTACAGTGATTGTAGCATGACCTTTCCACTGAGCCTCCATTCCTCCATCTTCCCTTCAAATCTTAACGTTGCTAAGAGGCAACAAAAACATAGCACTTCCACACATAACAGAGACGTCTCCCTCCAAATGCCACGTCATCCCCAATCTTCATTATCTCATTCAGAGGGTGAAGGATGAAGATATTTCCGTTAGAGATGGATATACAAACAAGGGGGGGTTGGGCTGTTAATAACCTAAATGCCACACCAATCAGGGAAAAAGTGTTGATGTTTTACTCCGACAGGCACTAATGCTGCACCTTCATTACGAGCGCATGACAAATGTGAACATTAACATATTGAATGTCTTCTGAGTGAAGCATAGATCCATCTTTGAGTCACTAAAATACCCCAGATAGGATCACTGTTGTCAAGTTTGATGATATAATGACAAAACTAAATAACCAAAAAGGTCAGAGCCAGAACAGATTTATCGATGTGATTTTTTAAAGCTTTATATAATATATTGGTCTGTATTTCTATTTCAATGTAGTATTAACTCAAGGATTTGGCATTTGTAAGCAAACAAATCCTCATTTTATTTTCCAATGACTCAAAATAATATGGTATGATTTGCCTTGACATGTAAACATATTTTTTTAATAAACTAACCAGAAAAAGACTGGTGTTACCCACATAGAAATGTTTATATCACTTCTGGTAAATGTGTGGGCGGGGGAAAAACGCAACATCTTGCATGAAACAGCGTCTGAGGGCTTCTTAACATTTAATAAACTATGAATGTGTCATACTCACTTAACGGGAAGAAAACTCAGCTATCAGACAATATTAACCATTTTTAGCAAAACAAAACATAAGGGTAATAGTATACCAAAGGCTCTGAATGAGCCCCGAGCGAAAAAATGCTAACGCACTTAGCACAGAACTCACGTTAAAATACCCTTATTACTGATCAGATCTGCACAAACAAGATATCGATTAGCAAGCTGAGATTCCACAGATTCAGACATATAAGTATCATCACTGAGCGACCAGAACTCACGGCTAAATGACAACCAAATTTAGATTTTTTTTGTGCTAAATCTCTCTAAAAAGGTCAAATGTCACTTGTTTTGCATCAATCTTGATACAGGGTACTTTTTATATGTTATAGTTTGGATTCCTAAAGCTTTTAGTCTACTTTCCCATCATTCAAGGCTGGTTTTCACTCTAAGTAATGTTTTTTTTTTTGACGGACACTATACAGTAATTTACATTTTATCTGAATTTACTTTAAAATAAAAAAAATGGATTGATTCTGACTTTTCTACATCCATTATCATTGCTTTGAGAACAAAGATTATTAATGTACCCCTTTCAGAAGGGAAGATATAGTCAATTGTTCTGGGAATGTCATTTTCGAGCCTGAGGCCTGAAAAACAGGGTTAACAGGTTGTTTCCCTTGTTTCTCCTTTGCATTCCCATGTTGCCCTTTGACATAATGGTCACTTTAGTTTTATAAAACCAACGTTATATCATGTCTATATGCCTTATATACCTTTTTTGAAAGGTACCTGTTAGGTTGAGGGAAATGAGAAGGGTCATTATGTTTCTAACAGCTTTTCCCAACTGATGTTAAACAATCCTATTCTTCAGCTACAGTCAATGATGGTATTTTTGTTTTTATGAAAATGTAAGTAATACGTTCATAATACATTGCTTTTAAATGTTAATTTCTCAAATGTCATTGTATTTCCTTCCCCATTAGCCCCCCTGATGCCAGAGTATGAGTCCGAGGCTCCACTGAACGAGACGGAGACCACCATCACCATCCTGCTGAAGCCCGCCCAATCACGTGGAGCACCCATCACGTAATTTATTTCCTTCTTTTTTTATTTATACTTTTCCCCTCTATTATCCTGTTATCTTCTTTCTCCCCTTAAATGTATTCCTACTCACTTTGTTCCATCTTTTTCATTTATCTCCTCTCCTCTCCTCTCCTCTCCTATCCACTCCACTCCTCTCATCTCCTCTCCTCTTCTATCCACTCCTCTCCTCTCCTTCTCTCCTCTCCTCTCCACTCCTCTCCTCTCCTCTCCTCTCCTATCCACTCCTCTCCTATCCACTCCTCTCATCTCCTCTCCTCTCCTTCTCTCCTCTCCTCTCCTTAACTGTTCTGTCCTCTCCTCTCCTCTCCACCCTCACTTTCTTCTCCCTATTTCCATCCACTTTCCCTACTCTTGTCTTCCTCAAGGGTCTCTTTTAAAGCCATTAACATCACTCACACATATAAGTCCAATTTGTATGCAAAGGCTCTCAAAGAATGGGACACTTTTTTATAGATTTAGCTGTGGCACGTGTTGCCGTTAGTCACTTGCGTCTTGTTGCTATAGCCACAGTTTGATGGAGACTCAAAACAGAAAGTACTTCCTATGTCTGATGGACACTTTGGTTATCATGTCCCTTAAGACTTGAAGCGCCCTGTGGAGAGCTTGTTGGCAGAAAGAGGATAACAACAGTTGTAATGGTTAAAGATCAGGAGGATTTTCACATAATACACAAACAAACATGCGATAGTGATCGTCACGTAAACCCATTAGTGGCATACAATGACTACACAACAACTTGTGTAGTCATTGAAAGTGGTCCTATTCTGCATTTTAGGGTTTTCCCTTTCCTGCAGTGTGTCATATAGGTTTGTGTTCATTGAAATGGTCTGCGAAGGATGAAACCCCAAGTTCCCTGTAAAAGCTTCTCTCCCACCGCTCATGTTAGGGAACCCTAAAATGAGCGTAATATGTCGACTAATAAATAGCCACTCATCATGATTCAAAATTGCATTAGGTGCTTATCAGTCAAATCTACAGAAGTGGTAGTACAAAGCACAGGTTCCTCCTTGATATGAATTACATTTGAAAGAAAAAGAGTGAGGAAATTATATAAAAAGTTAAAACACAGACTGCTACTTAATCCTTCAAGTCTCAGTCCACTGCACTTTTGTTTTAAAATGGACACACGGCTAATTTATTCCACTCTCATTTCAAATGTTTTCAGCCTGCATGTTTTTTAATTAAAAGTTCACTTTGAACATGTGATCTCATCCATTTCATTGGTGTAGGGGAGAACATAATTCTGCCGTTGCCTTTAGGGAAACACAGCTTTGACAAGGGTGTGTGGAGAATATATATCACTTCAATGTAGACTTGGGGAAAGGGATTTGATTAATGTGCGGGTCAATAGTTTTAGTGTTCATTTGTGTAAATCCCATTCCATATCTTGCCGTGTATCACACACATATGGCAAATATAACTCTTGTTGAATTGGGCCGCAGTCCAAAATCTTTGTGTTTATCAGCCTGAGTTAAGCCCCTTTACATGTTTGCTTATTATGTGTGTTTTGTGCAAGTATTACATGTTGTAAGGGTCAACAGATGCATCATGGGGCAGCATGGGAAAGGCATCTGGTTAGTATGCACGCTAATGCTTTTTGCAGGAATTGTTTTTTTTCTTAATTCTGAGAAGATCACAGCATCTCCAGCACTGGAGCTTACATGAGGAAAGTTTACACACATGGCTGAGCTATGAGGAGCAGCTGCTGGGGTTGACACACACACACACACACACACACACACACACACACACACACACACACACACACACACACACACACACACACACACACACACACACACACACACACACAGTGGGGCAAAAAAGTATTTAGTCAGCCACCAATTGTGCAAGTTCTCCCACTTAAAAAGATGAGAGAGGCCTGTAATTTTCATCCTAGGTCATCCTGTCTCTCAACTATGAGACACAGAATGAGAAAAATAAATCCAGAAAATCACTGTCTGATTTTTAAAGAATTTATTTGCAAATTATGGTGGAAAATAAGTATTTGGTCAATAACAAAAGTTCATCTCAATACTTTGTTATATACCCTTTGTTGGCAATGACAGAGGGCAAACGTCATGCATATCTCCTCTAGAGCAGTGATGTTTTGGGGCTGTTGCTGGGCAACACAGACTTTCAACTCCCTCCAAAGATTTTCTATGGGGTTGAGATCTGGAGACTGGCTAGGCCACTCCAGGACCTTGAAATGCTTCTTACGAAGCCACTCCTTCATTGCCCGGGCGGTGTGTTTGGGATCATTGTCATGCTGAAAGACCCAGCCACGTTTCATCTTCAATGCCCTTGCTGATGGAAGGAGGTTGTCACTCAAAATCTCACGATACATGGCCCCATTCATTCTTTCCTTTACGCGGATCAGTCGTCCTGGTCCCTTTGCAGAAAAACAGCCCCAAAGCATGATGTTTCCACCCCCATGTTTCACAGTAGGTTTGGTGTTCTTTGGATGCAACTCAGCATTCTTTCTCCTCCAAACACGTCTAGTTGAGTTTTTACCAAAAAGTTATATTTTGGTTTCATCTGACCATATGACATTCTCCCAATCCTCTTCTGGATCATCTAAATGCTCTCTAGCAAACTTCAGACGGGCCTGGACATGTACTGGCTTAAGCAGGGGGACACGTCTGGCACTGCAGGATTTGAGTCCCTGGCGGCGTAGTGTGTTACTGATGGTAGCCTTTGTTACTTTGGTCCCAGCTCTCTGCAGGTCATTGACTAGGTCCCCCCTGTGTGGTTCTGGGATTTTTGCTCACCGTTCTTGTGATCATTTTGACCCCACAGGGGTGAGATCTTGCGTGGAGCCCCAGATCGAGGGAGATTATCAGTGGTCTTGTATGTCTTCCATTTTCTAATAATTGCTCCCACAGTTGATTTCTTCACACCAAGCTGCTTACCTATTGCAGATTCAGTCTTCCCAGCCTGGTGCAGGTCTACAATTTTGTTTCTGGTGTCCTTTGACAGCTCTTTGGTCTTGGCCATAGTGGAGTTTGGAGTGTGACTGTTTGAGGTTGTGGACAGGTGTCTTTTATACTGATAACGAGTTCAAACAGGTGCCATTAATACAGTTAACAAGTGGAGGACAGAGGAGGCTCTTAAAGAAGAAGTTACAGGTCTTGTTTGTAGGTGACCAAATACTTATTTTACAGAGGAATTTACCAATTCATTCATTAAAAATCCTACAATGTGATTTCCTGGATTCTTTCCCCCCATTCTGTCTCTCATAGTTGAAGTGTACCTAGGATGAAAATTACAGGCCTCTCTCATCGTTTTAAGTGGGAGAACTTGCACAATTGGTGGCTGACTAAATACTTTTTTGCCCCACTGTATGTACATGTATATACACATTTGCACACATGCTCAGATGCATACATCTGTGCTTTCCATCAAACAGCCTTTTGAAGAAATCAAAACCAGTAGACATTTTCTAATTTTCGTTTTTGTATACGCTCACTTAAAATAATGTGCATTTCTCCCTTTATAATAAAAGTATAGGAAATGGATGAATTTCGAGAAAGCATTCTTTAAGAACACCTGTGGTTTCTTTACACATTTGCACATAGGAAAAACATAAATAGACATACAAGTACACACACAATCACACATGGCTGCGCATAGAGTACAAACTAAACTGATGTATATTGATGTACAGAGGTGATCAACGCAAACTCATTACATTACACGTTAGAAATAAAATGACCAAACACATACAAGATTAGGATTGTACACCAACACACATAATGCATTTACGTATTTTACCATCATATAATGCATCCACTGGCCCCAGCCTTTTTACTTCAGACAACAAAGCCACAACTATACTGTCAACAACTATTTAAAGAATTACAAATCGACAGACATGTCTTGATTTAACCAATAAACTTTCTCAAATTTAAAATACCCCTACTTTAAAATATGTTCATTTACAATATGTCTTCACAAAGAAAGACATAATATAACCTGTATTGAAAACCATTCCATAACACACACACACACACACACACACACACACACACACACACACACACACACACACACACACACACACACACACACACACACACACACACACACACACACACACACACACACACACACACACACACACACACACACACACACACACACACACACACACACACACACACACACACACACACACACACACACACACACACACACACACACACACACACACACACACACACACACTCCCTTGTGAAGCCTCAGAAAGCCATTACTTTGAAATGGATATTTCACCAGAAAGGCAGAAACAGTAGAGAGACTCATCTTTGGTCATCAGCAATTATCCTTTATGAAAGCTGCCAAACGGGAGCCAGGGATAATTGGCCGCGGCCCCCTTCACAGAAACATACATTTCCCTAATTGCGTATAATTGTGAAGTGAGTTCTTGGTGTGGAGGACGGAGGTAATTGCGGAGGGCCGCTGCGTCTGTCCTGACCGCTAAAGGAGCCCTCAGCCATTCATGAAGCCTCTCAGAGTGGAACATAAATACAAACACACACATGCAAAAGCCCCCCCCCCCCCAAACACACTCACATGGACATGTACTATTAAGTATATAAATCCACCTCTACCTGTTAGAACAAACACAGGAGCACACCTGCTAGAGCACAACAATACTGTGTATGCACAAATATAAATACTGCCACACACACACACACACACACACACACACACACACACCAAATAAAGACACATCAGGATTTATTCATGAGAATGGAAAACGTGTATGAACATGAGGTTGTCACTTCCTCGCTCACACCCTCATACACACTCTCACAGTAGCATATATTTCTTTTAATTCATAACTTAATGCTGAGTCAGCACTAAAAAGTTATCTGCCATGTACCTTGTTAGAAGTGTATTTGGCATTTTTCTGCAAATTCTCTACGGACCTCAGCACTCTTCTGCTAATGCTTTAATTACCAAATGTTAGTGAGCACTTTGGAAATTAAATATTTTAAAAGATAAATGCTCTTTAGGATCTGGATAATGGGCACAAGTGTAATCGTCAGATCAAACCAATCACTTTTTAGGTGAAAAAGGCTTTATTTAATTAATAATTCACCAGTTTAAGAGTTTAAAGGACAATGGCCTCCAACAAAGACCACCTGTGCCATGCATATTACAACCTTATACATGTGTGCTCCAAATGGAAATGACAAATTGGGAAATAATGTCGCCTAAATAACAGTGAGTAAAACCCATATTTCTCCTTCATATGTCTGGTCGAAGGTATTAATGTAACTGTATTTATGTCTTTCCAGCTCCTACCAGCTTGTTGTGAAGGAGGAGCGCAAGTCAAAGACCCGCCGCGCTGCCTCCGAAGCCCCAGAGTGTTTCTCCGCCCCTGTCAGCTTCCGCAATGCCTCCATCTTGGACTCTCCCTACTACATCGCTGCCGAACTGCCCCCATCCAGCCTCACAGTGGTACAGCCCTTCACTGTGGGAGACAACAAGAGCTACGGAGGTTTCTGGAATCCCCCGCTGTCCCCGGCCAAGAGCTACAGCATCTACTACCAGGCCATGAGCAGAGCCAATGGGGTGAGTCTCAAGCAGCCAATAGTACCTATATTACCACGGGTAATTTGGCCAAATGACACACAAATACATTGGAGTCTACAAAGGCAATATGAATATCTTAAAGCCACCGTTGGCTTAAAGGGGACCTATCATGCAAAATGCACTTTTATACATAAAGATGTGTCCCCGGTGTGTCGGGGAACTCACGCAGCGTCAGTAAATAAAACCCTCTCTCTTTTCCTCCGTACCCAAATCTCTAAAAACGGGGCTACCATGGAGCCGATCCAGATTTGCGTCCGATATGACGTAATATCGGATATGTAGGCTGCCTTTACACCCATGGCACTATCAGAAAAGTTGCTATCAGAAACAATGCCCGACTGTTTTGGACGTAATATGGTCGGTGTTTACATTAGCATCGCTAACACTCAGAGCTAACCTGTACTGGAGAGCATGTGTGTGAAGAAGCAGGAAATAAAAATGAACTCACCTTGTGGTATAACCGGCAAGAGAGAAAGCCTTTGAGCTCCATACTGTTTCAGAGAGAACCCTTGATAATCCATGATATGGCGTTTCATCACGGCAGTATTAGTTTAGACAGTAGCTGCCGGGTCCCGCATGAGCTCAGACCCCTCCTTTTTATTTTTTAAAGCTTTATACCCCAAATCAGCACTTTAGAAACAGGAAGTGAAATAGAGGGATATGAGGCATGGCTAGGATGGGTGATCTGTTTGGTATTTTGAGCAAAACACTTCATAGACATGTGTTTTATATATTTTTATATATCTGAGACCTATGCTATTGCCTAAAAATAGCATGATAGGTGACCTTTAATATTGCATAGTTTAGGTTTATTTAAAAATTATTTTCATGTCAGAAAAGTGGAAAACTAATGGTAGTAGGAAAAGATCCCCTTCAAGCCTGTAGTCTTTGGTGCCCCTGCTGTCTCATTTAATTATGCTAAGTAAATACCTATGCCATCCAATTAAAAATTAATTAAATGACTTTAAGATCTACATAAAGGGGCTTTAAAACTCAGAGGGGAACACCTGGAAACAATATTTCAACGTCTTTATAAGGACCATTTAAAGACAACAGAGAAGCAACCTCTTGCACATTTGGATAGAACTGCTGATAATAGTAGACCAAGAGAATTGCCCCTCAGAAATGATGCTGCCACTTCACTCCTCTTTCATTTGAAAGTTTCAAGAACGTTTTTGCCACGCCCTAATCAGTGATGTCACAGTGGTTGTCTAAGCCCAAGTGATTTAGGTGAGGTTACATTTTCAGACAGAATAGCATCTTGTATTACCATCACAGTGAATGTTATGTCAATTTAAAAAAAGGATAAAACTCCCAGAATCCATCACTCTTTTTGATCCTCTTTATGCATGACCATTAGACCATGTGTAAATATACCAACACCCCACCCACCTCTCCCCTTCTCATAACTCATTCACAAGTTGAACTTGGCTTTTGAAATCTCCATAATATTCTGAACTCCTGCGAGGGTTTTTTAAATTTTCCACTGCCGTTACCACAGTAACTCGGCCCCGACAAGCTGGCAGAGGCCGTGATGTAATATTGTCCTCCAGAAGGCAGATTTCCCATAATGCACTAATACGGTGAAAGACTTTGCACAAGTGGGTGTGAGTTGTGAAAGGGGGTTCGTCATGCATGATGGAACCAGCTTACGTGTGTGAGTATGCATTTAAAAGTGTGTGTGTTTTTAGTTGTGCATGCCAGTTGTGTGAATGTGAGTGCTTTTTAAAATCTGGTCACATAAGAGTACCTTTATTTGATTGGATCTCAGTCAATCCAATCAGTGTGAGGCTTGTTTGGTTCATGGATTGGAGCATCGGGGGGGGGCACTGATGTGCAGCCACTGTAACCCAAATGATTTGATAAGGAAGTCAGGCATAAAGAATGGCCACACATTCATAAACCTCATGAATTTCTGCCAGTAAGTACTTTTTCCTGCACTTGAAAGAGAAACGATTTAATTATTATTATTATTTTTTGTTTTACTTCCCTGCTAATGCAAGTAACATAAGTTATATTTGCTCCTTTGAGAGAGAAATACATTAGATATGTGTGCCAATATCCTCATTTATTTGTTGTGTGCCACGGCCCTTCAAAGAAGAATTCATCATTTAAATAATGTATTGCTTTTAAATGGTATATCTCCATTATATGCTGTCACAGTAACGATATGTGGAAGTGATCTTTTGTCAATCAAGAATTGAAGTTATCTGCAGTTCTCACAACGTCCTGTAATGTGTTTAATTTATTTACTGTCAGTCAGTTTGTGCAATATAGGTAGGCGTCATATTTTATCATTTCAGAGGGACACTCATTAACATTTTAGAAGACTTGGTGGTTTGATGTCGTTTGATCCCATGGATACAAGTATGTTTCCAATTCTCTGCCTGTCTTGGATAATCCTGCTGGTCTCCCCCCCCCCCCTCATTTTAGCTCCACCTGTCCATCAAGGACAGCGTCTCTCCTCCCTCTTACTCTTTCATTTTCTGTCACTTTCTCTCTTGAGAACATTTAGAAGAAATTGTTCTCTCAAACCGCCCACACTGTTGCCTCCGTTTCTCTAACATGAAAGAAAATCCACCTACATTCTCTACATTTTTGTTTTTCTCCCTCCACTCCATTTCCCTCTGTGTGCCCCTCCACCTCAGCTCATCCTCTGTTTTCATTCAACTCATCGATCTTTTGCCAAATTGTTTCTTCAGCTGTTACGGCTGGACGGCGAGGTATACATAGGACCCAAATGCAGCAGCCCGTTGGTTGAATCAAACTCCTTTATTTATGGAAAAGGCCAGGCAAACAAAGTAAAACACAAACTTGTACGAATCCAAATCCATCCAACAACGTCAAGAATCTCACAAAGACTAACAGGAAAAGCAGAACCTAAATGCACACAGGACTAATCAAACAAACCAGACACAGGTGAGGAGGGAGGAGAAAACACAGGGGCACCAGGTGAACACAATCGGGTAATCAGGCAGGAGGGAACACAGACAGGAAGCAACAGGAAGGCGGGGGAGGGGGGTGAATACTTTTCAAACGAAAACAAGAAAACAAAGGCAGATCTAGACAGGACAAAATAAAATATAGCCAGATCGTGACACCAGCTCTATTTCCCCTCCCCCCCATTTCCTACTGGCCTTTCCATTTGCAATCTCTTTTAACTTCCATCATGGCTATTTTCTCTTCCTTTATTTCTTATGCATCTTAAAGTGGACCCTGTTATGCTTTCCTGTAGTGTGTTCTATGTCTCTGTGCCTGTTAGTGGTCTGCAAAGACTCAACTCCCAAAGCTCCCTCCCTCCTTTCTCCTTTCACAATTCTCCCTCCTTCTTATTCATCCTGCTTTTTCTTTAGCCAACTCTCTCTCCCTACCTCCCTGTCTCGCTATCTCTCCCCCCTCTGGGGTGACATCAGTCTGTTGCCAGTCTCTCAATTATCATCATTGTGCCAATTAGGCGACACGCTGCACATTAAAACTGCTCACCAACGGCAATCTTGATTTCTCCCCCGACGTTGTGTCATGTCACTCACACACAGACATACTGCACATACACACACACATTAGAGGCACACACACACACACACACACACACACACACACACACACACACACACACACACACACACACACACACACACACACACACACACACACACACACACACACACACATACACAAATGGAGTGCCTCGGGCTGTAAGTAAGAGAGCAAGCGTGATCAGGGACTTAGGGATGAGGAACGATAGAGAGGGGGAATAGAAATCTAAAAAGAGTGAAAGGGAGATTAAAGAAGATATCATCTTGGAGGCAAAGATGGAGGACTAAGGCGAAAGAGAAATAGTGGGAGATATGCAGGACATGGTTTGCAGAGTGAAAACCAAGAAAGGAAGAATAATTGGATGTGAGGAAAAAAGGGAGAATCCCGATATAATGTCTTTATCATGGTTGCAGAAAAGTTTGAACCAAATGAAATGACATCAAAAGATTGTTTGGCAAGGTTCTTTAGTCAGGTGCAGTCTTATCGTGGAGAACAGGATTCTTTGAACTTCATGGCAGTTTAACAAAGTCCAACAATATAGTAATGGTATGTGGAAGAACATCGACTGTCACTGGAGCCAACTGTTTAAGGTTCAAATGTCGACATACGTTCAGCCTTATATGAGGCTATAGTGATCCCTATGTATTGGAGGCACAGAAAGAAACAGATGAAATACAACAAGGGAAATCCAGGTACAATTCTACAAAGAGCAGACTAAGAGACAGACCAATGAGGCATGGGGAGGGAGGAAAGACACTAAAGTGCAAAAGGAAGTGCTGAGAAAAGTGAATAGAGAGGAGAGACGGAATCGTTGGAGGAGAAACGCATAGGAGGAAGAATGTTGGGAGAAATGGGGCGATAAATGGCACAAAACAAAAGGAAATGGTTGCACCCAGGGAAAAACATGGCCTCCAGCACTGTGAGGAATGCAGCCAGACACCTTTCTTGACAGGTAAAAAGCCTCAGGGGTTGCACAAGGTACTCTGACAAACAACGTCAGTCACACACAAACCCCCCGACACACACACACACACACACACACACACACACACACACACACACACACACACACACACACACACACACACACACACACACACACACACACACACACACACACACACACACACACCAGCAGCCTCAGAGTGCAGATTTAGGTGGATGTAGAAGGGATATTTTACCAACTGAGAGGCAATGTCAATCAATATGCACTCAGCTGACTTGAAAATCCGTGATGCACTTTTATTCTGTCTGTGTGTGTAAGTTTGTCTTTGTCACATTGTGGGCCTCATAACATGTTAGCACAGTGTCAGAAAGGGTGGTCCCCTATTTGTATTTTCTGGTTGGGTTCCCCCACGACGTATGAGGTTATATTTGTCTCAATAATATTTGTGTGAACATGAAAATGATTTGTGTAAATGTGTGATTTGTAAATGTAAAAC